GGCCCTCATTGTTCAGGAAGTATAAATTGGTAAACATTTTGGTAGACATTTTGACATTATCATGTAAAGTTGGAAATTGAAAAACAGGAAAACAAGCATAACCTGGCATGTCTCCTGCTATGTATAACTCAAGAGCACACTTGGCACATACTCATCAGGAGACATATACAAGAACGTTCAACACAGCCACAGGGTGGACACAATCTGAACACCCATGGACAGAAGCGTTGTGTATATCCTGGCATGTTGTACAAGGCTCCAACATAAGACAAGATAAATGCACTATGTTGTTGTTGTTGTTGTTAGGTGCCATCGAGGTAGCTCTGACTCATAGCGACCCTATGTACAATAGAACAAGATACCATGCAGTCTTGTGTCAGCCTTATAACTCTTGCTATATCTGAGCCCATAGTTGCAGCTACTGTGTCAATTCATCTTATGGAGGGACTTCCCCTTTTTCATAGACTCTCCAGTTTACCAAGCATGATATCCTTCTCCAGGGAATGGTCCCTTCTGAAAACATGACAAAAGTACGTAAGACAAAGCCTGGCCATTCTCAGTTCCAAGGAACATTCTGGCTGCACTTCTTCTAGGACAGATTTGTTCATTCTTTTGGCAGTCCGTAGTACCTTCAATATTCTTCGCCAATACCACTACTCAAAAGCATCAACTCTTCCTCAGTCTTCCCTATTCATTGTCCAGCTCTTACATGCATACCAGGAGATTGAAAATACCATGGCTTGGGTTAGGTGCACCTTAGTCTTCAAGGAGTATCTTTGCTCTTCAGAACTTGGAAGATGTCTTTTGCAGCAGATTTGCCCAGTGCAATAATTCATCATCTGATGTCTTGGCTACTGCTGCCATTGGTGTTGACTGTGGAACCAAGTAATATGAAATCTTTAACAATCTCAATCTTTTCTCCATTTGCTGTGATGCTGCTAATTGGTCCAGTTGTGAGGATTTTCATTTTCTTTATGTTGAGATGTGATCCATGCTGCAGAGTAAATGCTTCAGGTCATCCTCACTTTCAGCAAGCAAAGTTGTGTAATCTGTATATTGCAGGTTGTTAATGAGTCTTCCTCCAATCCTGATGCCATGTTTTTCTTCATATAATCCAGTTTCTCAGAATATTTATTCAGCATACAGATTGAATAAGTATGGTGAAAGGATACAACCCTGGTACACTCCCTTCTTGATTTTAAACCATGTAGTATCCCCAATGGAATGCATAAAGGTCAATATCCTAGGCATTAGTGAGCTGAAATGGACTGGTTTTGACCATTTTGAATAAGATAACCATATGATCTACTATGCCAGGAATGACAAATTAAAGAAGAATAGCATGGCTTTCATCATCACAAAGAATGTTTCAAGATCTATCCTGAAGTACAGTGCTGTCAGTGATAGGATAATATCCATATACCTACAAGGAAGACCAGTTAATACTACTACTATTCAAATTTGCACACCAACCATCAAAGCCAAAGACAAGGAAATTGAAGATTTTTTTTACCAACTTCTGCATTCTGAAATTGACCAAACATGCAATCA